ACAGGTGTACACCATGCCCTGTGTGGGTCTGATCAGACCCAGGGACAGCACTGGGGACTGGATGGTGGCATTCGAAAGGTCGGATGTGGTCTGTGAGCCGTATGTTTGAACTCCTGATTTAGAGGGAGCAATCCTATTTTTGCTTTCTTTTTGCTAGGGTAAGAAAACCATGCTTTTTAAATTGCCTCTCATATGACAGACTCTTAATTTCTCTGATCAGAGGAGTCCTTCTCAGTACCTGTTTCAGCTTGAGTTCATCTTTTTTTAAACAGGGTGACCAGAATTCAGAGGCAATGTCTCTGGTTCTGTCCTCTAAGGCTCACATCCAGAGTGCAGTCTCTGTCTATAGTACCCTCTTAGAAGTCTGAACCTACAGGCCAGTCGACCTAGGCCTCAGCACCAGTCCTGAATCATGACTCTTCCACAGCATAATTATACCTTCCCCTCATTGACACTCCTGCTTACACTTTGAACCTTATGAAACAGTTACAACAGTTGCAACAGGAATTGCAGACTTTGGAAAGTTAACATAAATGCATGCATACACACTGGAAATCTTTTCAGTTTTAGAGAAAATCCATGCAAAAAAATAAACTGTACATAAAATCCCTCTCTACTGGCCTCACCATTCCAAGATCACTTTGGATTTTGGTTACGTAAGAACAGACTTTAACATTTGAGACTTTCAGTCCACTCAGTCATGTGAGTTTCTAGCTAGCATCAAAGACCCCATTAGGTGATCTGTTCCTTGATTACTACTCACTAGAAGTCCAAACTGGAAAAACTGGTTTCTTGTAGTTTAGCCATTCTCATTAACATTCCCATTGTATTGCTAGGGCAAAGTTATTCCATATTAATGACCTTGCCTCACTCTGCATTGTTTGCCCTGTGTCAACAACACAGGTCTCAAGGAGGGGGCAGGGGAGGCTATAGGGAATGCACTTGTATGGCTTCACAACCAAAATGGTGCACACACAACAAAATGTTCACATACATACATATATGCATGAAATCATCACAGACAGCAACAAGAGAAACTCTGTGACATGTAGATTTTGATTACATCCTGTTGGTAATTTAGAAAACAGGAGTGGGAATCACACTTAGATTAATGATCCAACATAGTGCGAGGAGGCACACTTGCTGGAGATGGCATTCTAAGGGGAGAGGTCTTATAATAACCTATATTGTACAGTAAGACCCCTATTTCAAAGAGGACACAATCAAAGGGCACGATTGTAACCTGACCATAAACAGGTGTAGGAAGGAATAAGATGTGTGTGCAGATTCACCAGTTTCTTTGGATGTAGTCATGGAAGTAGTAGCGGCTGTATAGCCAATAACTCCCCAACCACATCATATAAGTAGGAAACTGGAAAACAAAAATGTGGAACAGGTATAACCTCAGGGGAGGTGCTGGAGGTGTTGGGAAGCAAGACTAATATTCTGCTACAGGTTTGAGAAGGTAGGGAAGATGTGCCAGTCTAATGCACAATAATTTCCAAGGGGTCTTTCTATGTTGCTTCTTATTCACGGGACTGAACAGTTTACATTGTTACATCAGTATAGTGAGAAGTGATAGCATACCATGGGGGATTGAGGATGGGAAAACTACAAAAGAGCAGGGAAAAATAAAGGTTTTAACTATATGTTAAAAATGTTCATGGCACTTTCCCCAAGAGATAGCAAGCAATTCCTGATGTCTACCTTAAATGTTAAATGAGTAAATATAGTCGATCTAAAAATCCCCTGTAGTTATGGTTGGATAAGGTGTTCTTCATGCTTGTTTCAGAAGTAATGCAATGTAGAATGTGTCCTTTAAACAGAATTTGTATATGGTAAAATTAATTTTAAGGAATAAGCCAACTATATGTTCCTTGCTAAAGATATAATCAAGGTTTCCAGTGAACTGCCTCACTAAGCCAAGCCTTCTGCAAAACACCATTGCCAAGTCCCTATAATGCTTCCAAACATTATCTATGATTCCCACTTTTTATAAAGATCCTGGCTAACTCTCCCTTCCTCAGTCATGGCCATTCATCCTTCCATGATGCTATGTTGTCACTATTCCCCCCTCCCAAGCCCCAGATATTCACACACATCTGGGGCAAGAAAATTGAGAAAGCTGGAAGGGATATGAAAGAGGCAAGGGATATGCATATGTGCTTATTTGAGAAATGGGGTGTAGGCTGTAACCGTGTCGGTCTAAGGACATATTTGAGAACTGGTTGCCCATCCTGCACAATGAATGTACAACCTTAACTCTGACCATAACCATAGTACGTCCGTGCAAGCACACATGCAAACTTACAATGATACTTTATGCATAAAATGCTGAATGTGTAACAATCTTTTAATACAGATCATTCATTCAGGTAAGTTTTCTCAACCTTACTAGGAAAACAATTTGCAGTTTGACACCATTTCAAAGCACATACCAACACAAAGCTACATCCATTGTAACTGATGAAAGTCACACTGCCGCTATATTAATCAGCAAAATACATGAACAAATCACCAGCCTACAGTCAAAGCTTGTGGGCTCCTGGAACTTTTTTGAGATAACTGTGACAATGCAGAAGCTGTGGGCGTAAGAAATGAAGCTAAGGTTACAAAGAGGAACTGATGACTGAAGTGTGGACAAAGCATCAAATGACTTAGCTGCTGATTCCCCTGCTTGTTGTGGTTTCTTTGGTGGAATGTACAGTACTGCAACATTAAATGTGTCATTTTTTTTATAGAATAACAGTTAATACTGTGCATTAGTCTACACCATCTCCTAAGCTTCCAGAGATCCTTTAAAATACATTATATTTTAAATTATTTTTTATTTAAAACGAAAGTTATCAAGCCAGGACGACATGCAAAAAAAAAAGAAAAAAAAGAAAAAAAACCCTTAAGAAATGGCGTTTCTCTAAACTAACATTGCAAAACCCTTAATCACAAGAGTGAAATGATTTGGAAAACTTCCTTTAAAGCAGCAGAAAAGAGTGACAAGTTTGGGGTGGCTCAGACCCTCAGATTAGCTGCATGAGCCTGTGGACAGCCAGGGACCCATTCCTAAACAGACACTCAGACCCCACCGTCGAAGACTGTTTTAAAATGGGACTAACTAAGTGAAACATACTGGTACTACAGAAAGACAGAAGAGGATGACGGGAAAGAAATGGCAGACCTCATCTGGTGGAGAGGGGTCTGGCATAAACTTTTACAGGAGTAGACCCTCTTAGCAGGGTAGTGGGTGGTGGGGGTATGGGTATGCAGATGGGTACGTGGGTGCACGGTTGCACGGTGTGAACTGTGTAACAGATTTTTAGTGTGCTTTGAGCTGCCAGGTCAACCACAAGGGCCACCTGGGAGAGCGCTGGAGGTGGAGTTATATATGTATCTATATCTAGATATCTATCTATATTTCTATATATATAGATCTATATTTAGATCTATCTATATATTTGCAAAAAAACAGAGCAGACAAAAAAAACTAGCTGCCTGAGCCTTGATATGGCCTTTAATACAGAAGTGCAGTGACTGGGTGGGGGGGAAAGTTTCACAACAGGAGCTGCTGAAGGATGCGAACAGGGGCAAACTGGGGGAACATGTTCAGTGTCTTGTTTAACCGTACTGCTGGATTTTTGGTTGTAGCCATGCTGGTCCAAAGCAGCTGTTCCCAAACTCTGACAGATGGCACGCTGCAAATTTAAAACAACGCAACCTTATGTACCACCAGCAAATTTTTCAGTTCAACCTTAAGTAGTAGCTGCAAATATTTATTATATAAAGTAATTCTAATAAATCTGTTACCTGACCAGGGGCCTGCGTACCACTGGTTTAGGGTGGTCATCATTGAGAACAGTCCGGTTGCCCTCTGTCCTCTCTTGATACAAAACCAGACACCTTGATATGTATCAATAGTGGACAGATCTTCTATTGATACAAAACCAGGCACCTTTATGTGCATCGATAGCAGATGGATCGTCTATTGATACAAAACTAGAAGCCTTTGTGTGCATCGATAGTGGACGTTTCCTCTATTGATATGAAACTGGACACATTTATGTGTATCAATAGAGGATATATCCTCTATTGATACGAAACCAGACGCCTTTACATGTATCGATAGCAGATGTATCCTCTATTGATATGAAACCGGGCGCCTTTCTGTGTATCGATAGCAGGCGTATCCTCTATTGATAGGAAACCAGACACCTTTATGTGTATTGATAGCAGACGTATCCTCTATTGATACAAAACCAGATGCTTTTACGTGTATCGATAGCAGACGTATCCTCTATTGATATGAAGCCAGGCGCCTTTATGTGTATCGATAGCAGGCGTATCCTCTATTGATAGGAAACCAGACGCTTTTACGTGTATCGATAGCAGACGTTATCTTCTATTGATACAAAACTGGATGCCTTCATGTGTATCGATAGCGGACGTATCCTCTATTGATACGAAACCAGACACCTTTATCTCTATTGTTCTCTTCAAGAAAAAGAGCCATCTCTATTTTTCTCTTCAACAAACATCAAGGCATCCAATTTTGTATCAAGAGGCCAGAATAGCAGAAAACCACGATGGCCACCCTCCTGGTGGTACCCGTGCCACACACTGGGACACGGCCGCCGCGTGCCCCCGGCCTTTGGCGACCACCCGCAGACGGGGCCTTTCCGCAGGGGGTGCACGCGCAGACCCCTACACGTCGCCCATGTCCTCTACGACGTCCCCCTACAGACGGGGAAGCGCGGCTGTTCAAGTTCTTGACCCTCATAAAAGATGACCCAAGAGCCCGGCTGTCACCTTGTTCCCCATCAAGGGGTGAAGATCCCACACATGGGTGGGGATTTTCCCCTTGCCTTTGCTGTCACCTTCCCCTCCCCCTTCCCCTCCCCCTCCCGCTCCCGCACCCCGGCGGTCTCCGCAGCCTGCGA